TTATTTTTAAAGTCTCAGCATAGTCAAAGCAGATTTTGCAAATTTGAAAAGTAGATAAATTCTCGCCAAAAGGTCCCAAACGGCAGCCAGTCGTACTTTGAGGCAGATTATGGCCCATTTTAATACTTTTCGTTAAAACCCCATTGCACACAGTTAGTGTAAGAGATATTGGAGCGTAGTCACTTAGCAAAACTAATACCCTGAGGCCCGTTCCAGTAAAATTCGTAGGTACAAAATTATGCGGAACTTACATAGATACCATAGCTTACCATGGCAACTACGCATGATTTTGTACTTACGAATTTTATTGGAATGGGCCCCTTGTAGCATTGTTGTTTGTGTGAGAGACAGGAATGCGGTTCTTATGGGTGGAAATTGTCATGGGTGCTCTCTGTTTTTAATTTTTATAATGGGAGCAAAAATTGGGTGCGAACTGCCCGGGTGCGAAATTTCCGGATGGCAGTTTTCCTGGATGTGAATCGTCCTGGTGTGAAGTATCCGGATGTGAAATGTCTCGGGTGGAAGTTTTCCTAAGGTGGAATTTGTCCTGGGTGCAAAGTGCCCGGGTGCGAAATGTCGCGGTGGGAAATTGACCTAGGTGGAATTTGTCCTGGGTGCAAAGTGCCGGGTGCGAAATGTCTCGGGTGGAAGTTGTCCTGATGTGAATAGTCCTGGTGCGAAATGTCCTGATGGCAATTGGCTGGGCGGGAAGTGTCCGGGCGGGATTATCTGGGTGCGTAATGCCCTACTACCGGAAAAGACCCAACACTTGGGCAAAATAACTCCATTTGGCAAAGTTAGGTCATGGCATTTTCGCTCTATGAGGCCTATAGGCAACATGCATTTTTGCTGTAATCGTTTTTCCTTTGCTTTGGCGTGTTTTTCCAAGTGCTGACGGTCTACCGAGCAGGAAAAGACCCAACACTTGGGCAAAATAACTCCATTTGGCAAAGTTAGGTCATGGCATTTTCGCTCTATGAGGCCTATAGGCAACATGCATTTTTGCTGTAATCGTTTTTCCTTTGCTTTGGCGTGTTTTTCCAAGTGCTGACGGTCTACCGAGCAGGAAAAGACCCAACACTTGGGCAAAATAACTCCATTTGGCAAAGTTAGGTCATGGCATTTTCGCTCTATGAGGCCTATAGGCAACATGCATTTTTGCTGTAATCGTTTTTCCTTTGCTTTGGCGTGTTTTTCCAAGTGCTGACGGTCTACCGAGCAGGAAAAGACCCAACACTTGGGCAAAATAACTCCATTTGGCANAGTTAGGTCATGGCATTTTCGCTCTATGAGGCCTATAGGCAACATGCATTTTTGCTGTAATCGTTTTTCCTTTGCTTTGGCGTGTTTTTCCAAGTGCTGACGGTCTACCGAGCAGGAAAAGACCCAACACTTGGGCAAAATAACTCCATTTGGCAAAGTTAGGTCATGGCATTTTCGCTCTATGAGGCCTATAGGCAACATGCATTTTTGCTGTAATCGTTTTTCCTTTGCTTTGGCGTGTTTTTCCAAGTGCTGACGGTCTACCGAGCAGGAAAAGACCCAACACTTGGGCAAAATAACTCCATTTGGCAAAGTTAGGTCATGGCATTTTCGCTCTATGAGGCCTATAGGCAACATGCATTTTTGCTGTAAT